CCCAGCCCTCACATCCACAAAATTATTAACTTTATTCTGGGGGAGAGAAATGAAAGTTTATATAAATTCATTTCACATTTTAAGAGGTCTGCAGTATTGCAAAGTTGTGATTGAGAGGTTATGTTGGGGGAGGGGGGCGATGACAACTTCCTCATTGGCTCAAGGGGGCGATTCGTTCAAAAAGGTTAAGAACCACTGCCCTAGATCACAGTCACTAAATCCTGAAGCTCAACAGGATGGTAACAGCTAACCCCCACCTTCTACCAAGGAGTTTCTCATCTCCCCAATTTAGCCAACAAACCTGGAATTTCCTTGGTGGTCTCTCAGCCACATAAGAATTAAGGCCAACTCAGTTTAGCTTCCTTGCACAGACGTGGTTGGCCAGGTGGAACAGGACAGCTGACCGCGGGCAACTCACTTCAGACAACTCGCCGATGGACAATTCCACACGGGATAATTCAACTCAATAAATAATTCAACTCAATAATTCAACTCAATAAAGCACTGTTCTTTTGACATTATTTTCATTGACAAAAATGGAAATAACGGTGAAGAAATGATAGCAGATAACATTTATCGTGCTGAGTTATCCCATGTGGAATTGTCCTGTGGTGAATTGGCTGCGGCAAAATGGCTACGCCGGGTTGGCAGCAGCAAGATGGTCCAGGCGAGTTGGACGTGGTGAGATGGCTGGGATGAGATGGCTGAGGCAAATTATCCTAGACCGTTCACCAGGTGCTGCCATCCGCTGAAACAATTAAAATGCTAGAAATTTCCATGGGCAGTACAAAATTTTTACACAGCCCTAATTTTTAAAGCACAAGAGCACCAAAGACTGGAATTTCCTATTTTGTAACTAATTTTAAAATTAAGTGCATTAAATAGGAAAACAAAATTAATATATATATTATTTATTTATTTAGACAAGCTCATACACCATTTTAAATTGCATAAGTTCTAACAGTATATACTGTTAGAGGCATACATATTATTGACCACATATTGAAAAGTGATTACCTGGCTATGAGGTAATTTAGGGACAACCTCAAAATTGCTAAAAATAAGAACATAGGAATGGCCCAGCCATGCCATACAGCATTCATGTAGATCTGCAAATAAAAGAACAAATAAACTACATATGTTAACATGCAATTATTATGTTAAAACATTTTAACAACAATGGGCAGGAAACTTTCATTGCAATCCTATATACCTTGAATTAGATATTAATCACATTATTTTCACTATGTAAATTTAAAAGCAAAGCATTCCTAATGTCATGTATTTCTTAAATTTCTATCCAGTCTTTGTTCAGAAGCTCATGGCAGCATGGATGCAGTTTTCTTTAAATTAAAAAGAAATATACAATATTTATTTCTTTGATTGTTTGTTAGTTAAACAAATTTATACAGTGACCCATCTCAATGAACATGACTCAGATGGTGTAAAACCTCTCATAACAGAGGCAATGCTTAGTCAATTTAAAGATTTTCTTTAAGTGTCACTTCTTAAAGATATATTAAGTCCTGTTTTGTTTGGAATGATTGAGGCAACTGAGAAATAATACCCTAACTCTAACCCTAACCCTAACTTACAACAGTTTGTTTTGTTCAAAGTTTCAACGGCACTGAAAAAAGTAACTTATGACCATTTTTCACACTTTTGACCATTGTAGCATCCCCATGGTCATATGATCAAAATTTGGATGCTTGGCAACTGGTTCATATTTATGACAGTTGCTGTGTCCCAGAGTCATGTGATCATCTTTTGCAATCTTCTGACAGGCAATGTCAATGGGGAAGCCAGATTCATTTAACAACTGGGTTACTAGCTTAACAACTGCAATGATTCACTTAACAACTGTGGGGGGGGGAAGTCATAAAATAGGGCAAAACTCACTTAACAAATGTCTCACTTAGCAACATAAATTTTAAGGTCAATTGTGGTCATAAATCAAGGACTACCTGTATTCTATAAAGAAATATTACCTACTGGTGAAAATACCAAACATCCCTCAGCTTGATTTTTTTTTAACTGCCCTGCAGATGTCTCAGCTTTCCAATTAAAATTCTCGACTTAGCAACCATTCAAGGTTATGATGAACCCTCCCCAAAACTACTTATGACTGATTTTGAAGATATGATGGATTAACCCCCTCCCTGTAGTCACATGATTGCATTTTGGGCACCTGGCAATTGGCACACTCTTATGGCTGTTTGCAGTGTCCCTTGGTCATGTGACAATTCTCAACATTTTTGCAAGTTTCTGGCCATTTACTTCCAGTTTCTAGTAAAAAAAATGCCCATTGGGTAAAATGGATTTGCTTAACAATGCCATGTTTGCTTAATGGCCATGGCATTTGCTTAACAACCACAAAAAATAACAAAAAATCCGATCCAGTCACGTAATACCTCGATTTACAATCACAATGACTTGTACCTGTAATTTTGGGCTCAATTATAGTCATAAGTTAAGGACTACCTCAATGCACTGAATGTAGCAGATCAGATTGATACTAAGCCACATTTTCAAAGAAATCATGAACAATAGCAAATATTGATAGAATTGTTAATGATTTTCATCATTCTCTTTTCTACAACAGAATGTAAATAGCAGAATATTATTCTGTTAGTCAAATTGTGTGTTGCTCAACTAAGAAAGAATAACTTACAATAAAGGCAATAGCAGAAGTGTAGACAGAAAACCAGTCCGATAAGGCAGAAAGATTCTTCACAAAATTTGTAACAGGTTTGGCACCTCTCTCTAGGCAGAACAGAAAATATAGATATAACTTTAACTACTTAGGTATGTGGTTTACAAGTACAATTCAAAATGGCACATGAAAACATACAAAGACTAAAAGTAGAGACAGTTATTTTTTTAAAAAAACAAATCAAATGTTATTCAGAATATTTTTATAGGTAATTCATAGGCACCCATTTGTATGATCTTCTTATCCACAATCTTCTCTTACTTCATATTTAAGCAAAGCTATCTGTTATTTTTGGAAAGTCCAGATGCTAGGAGCTGAATAACCAACTGATTTATATCACTTGATTTACTAAACTACAAACTAGTACAAAACAGTCTCCAATGAAACAGAGAAATAATAAAGGGGCTTTGCCCTTGTTATGATCCATTTCACACATGTAAATTGCCTCTTGAAGTTCATAACAATGAGCATGTTCATCTGAACTTATCCCCCAGTCATTCATATTAGAAGCATCCTAAATCTAATTTGTTTGCTTGTTCTGTGGCATACATAACTCTCCTTATTTTCCCCCTGTAAAATCTCTATCAGGTAAACTTATTCAGATACAGAATACTAGCCCAAACTCTAAAACTTGGTAGCCTAAAACTGGCTTTCCCTGCTAGTAATCCTAAGCCACTATACTACATTGCCTCTCTTAGTATAGGAGACATCAACAGAATGTGCAAATCTATCACTTGTTTGCATTGCATATTCTAGGTCTAGCCAATTTTCATTCTCTCACTCAAAATGAAAAAAATCTTACTGAAATGTTACTCATCTGCATTTGATATGTCAGCCCATTACAGATATATAAACAATATAAACATGGTTAAATACTTACTTAATCTTCTCATATTTTCTGTAAGCCTGAAAGTAAAGAAAAAATATTTAGAAAATTTGAAAATTAATGCATTTCTTTTGAAAATTAATGCATTTCTGTTTCCTATTAGTACGTCTAATGCAGACTTGATTCTAAAATGATATGCATTAATACATTCATTTTAGAGCTGTCTTTAACACTAGCAATAGCACTTAAGACTTATATAACGCTTCGCGGTGCTTTACAGCCCTCTCTAAGCAGTTTACAGAGTCAGCCTATTGCCCCAAACAATCTGGGTCCTCATTTTACCAACCTCGGAAGGATGGAAGGCTGAGTCAACCTTGAGCTGGTTAGAATCAAACTGCCCAATTGGTGGCAGTCGGCAGTCAGCAGAATTAGCCTGTGGTACTGCATTCTAACCACTGCGCCCCCAACTAAGATAGCCAATCTTTGGAAGCTCGGAGTTAGAATAAAAGTATGGAACTGTAATACATACTGTTGCTGATTACAGAAATACAAAGACACATACTCGCACATACACAAATGAGTGAGAAAGAAACAAAGAGAAATACATTTGACAAAAATTAGTAGTTTTAAAATTCCATTTCAGTATAAATCAAATATAAAAGTAACAATTAAGAACTATAAGATATAAAATATAGAATATTATCCAATATCAAATGATGATAGTATTAAGATGACTTTAATTAACGCTATAGTGTTTGTTACCTATGTACATTGAGTCCAGTGACTTTTATATTTATTGTTTTTACATAATGAAATAGCCTTCCAATATAATTTACCGTCTAGCACTAAGCGGCTCTTCGGTTTCCACTGTGTTTTCTTCTGGCTGAAATCTAAAATCTTCAATATATTCTCCAAATTTATCATAAATCCACTTCTGAACTCTTGAACACACCATGTGGCTGCGTTTATCTAATAATCAAAAACACATCGCATTTCTAAGTGACTTCCAAAACAATCAGTTCAAAACTACTGACAGAAGCAATTACTCTGAAGCATAACCAGAAATACTTAGATGGCAGGATAATTAATATTAACAGAATCTATTGCCCTACAACAACCAGGGAACTAAACTTGTCCACTGATAAACGGGCTCACCAGGAATTCTCATATTGGAATTGATTTTCATCCAAGTATGAATGCGTTACTACTGCTAACCATCTGGAATTTCTGAGTTTTCTGTGGAGATGAACTATGCTCAGTTTGGCATATTCTAAAATGAGAAAGAGCTGCAGTTTATCCTACATCCTGCAATTGCCATCGCATAGCTTCCTCATGGTCATCTCTGTATTCTGTCTATAACATCTGGTATGTTGTGTATAGATGTACTCACTGTGTCTGACAAAAATGTAACCAAGCTGGCAAAAAATGCAAAAGACGGGAAAAAAATGATTAGGGAAAGTCAGATAACTTCCCTAGGAGATAATTGTAGAATATCTGAGATCCCAAACGTGATTTGAGGGGGGAGGGGCATGATTGAGGAGTAAGAAATTATGCATGAGATGGAGAAAATGATCAGGGATGATCTCAAAACATTGGGACCGGATTTTTCTGCTGCTGTTGTTCTTACAATGATGCTGATTAAAATAAGATTTAGACAAATCAAAGCATAATGTCAGAACCCCGAAGAAATGTTTTGCTTTTCTTCCTATAGCATATATGATTTTGTAACCATTCTTCAGGGCTGTCATTCTGTTGGGAGGGGGGATGCTTTGGGGATGCTTTGCACTGTCTTGCCACTATGCCCTTCCTCCAGGAGAAGGAATGCATCACCCTTATCTAGGAGACGATTTGAGCTTGGAGCCAGAGAGAAATGAAAGCGAGAGAGACCTTGAAGAGCTCGCCAAAGGAGCCAGTTACCAAAACAATATGCCACCTGTGGATTGGCTGGGATTCAAATGGACACTGTGACCCTGGGGGGGAGGAGTAACGAATATTGCTTTTAATATGCTGCTTGCACGGGTTTTTCCTCAGACCTCGCCTTGTTTTTCCTGCTGTCACTAGCCCCTAATAAAAGTTCCTTTTGAGACAATGCCTATTTCAAGAGTTCTGCTTTCTTGGGAGGCCTAGATGAGGTAGGTCCTTACACATAAAACCTAATTAATTTGTGGAATTCATTACA